TCTTTTTGAATAGAATAAAGAAGAAATTTCGCATCTCCTTGTAGTATTTGAAATTTTCCGGATTTCTTGTTTTCTTAAATTTAGTGTACGCATCATTCCTAAGTTTCATCAACAGTTTTATATTGTCGGTGATCCAAGGGCGAAAAGTTTTTCTAGTTGTAATAATGCGTGTTGGAGCGTGGACATCAAAGAGAGTCAATATAAAAAAGTTTAAGAAATTTACCTTATCGTTAATATTGTTAAGTTTGACAATATTTTGCCAGGGTATTGCTACTAAATCTCTTGAAAACAATTCTAAACTGAAACTATTAAAATCCCTGTAGTGTAATATTTTAGGCAATGCCTTCACACCTGATAAATTTAAGTTCACGTAAACTAAGGAATGGTCAGCTATGTCATGCACCGGAATAACCCCCGAATCGTTTACGGGTGCATCTGCATCGACAATAACATAATCAATGAGTGTAGCTGACGTATCTGTAACTCGAGTTGCTGATGAAATAATTTGAGTCAGATTGTATGACTCAATAGCCGGTAGTAATCGACCACTGTAAGCTCCCGTCACACCAAAAGCATCAATATTGAAATCACCCAAGCACACCAATCCCTCGGATCGTAGAACCAGATGCGATAGGGCATCCTCAAAACTAGTTAAAAATTGGGAAAAATCAACATTTGGTCTATATATAACACCAACCGTCAGAAAAAACTCGCCTCTACTCACCTCAATCCACAAATGTTCTATGAAAGGAAAAACTTCGCTAAAAATGACATTCAAATTGTAAAGAGACTTTACATAAATTCCAATACCGCCCCCACGACCAGGAGGATCAGAGGCTGAGCGCCCAACAAACAAATGACGGTAGTTAGGAATAGTGTAAGCATCATGATCCGAGTTAAGGTAGATCCATGTCTCCGACATGGTGAAAATATCGTACGATTCTGTTTGTATAATATTTTTAACGGCAGCAAAGTGAGCTGGAAGCGAGCGTGTATTCACATGGCCTATCTTCATTAACACTTAAAGATAAGCATAAACATTTAGAGAAAAACAGAAGATTTTCAAGGTAAATACATTTACGAAACTGAAAGGGGGTTCGTTATGGAATAACTACTTTATATTATTTTTAAACAGTAAAAGATAAAAAGAATAAAACTGGGAAAAAATTAAATCAAAAGGCAAGTGAATTCACTTAATGAGGAGAAATATTAGCAGCAGTTGCACTTGTAAATAAAGATTGCTATTCAAATACAAATCTATCGCAAAAAAAAAAAAACAGCGCAAAAAGAAAAAAAAAACTACTCGAATAACCATACTAAACAAAATTCAGTCCATTATAACAACACAAAAATAAATACTTAGCTATTACTTTTTATGCTTTCGTGGTCGTAAATTCTTTTTTTCCTCCACCACAGTTACCCCTATCTTGTTCTTGAGCTCCTCAAAGTCGCTCTGGAATAGGATGGTATGAAAATTTTTTCCATTTTTTACAATAATTCGTCCATCAGACGTCCAAACGTTATTATTTCCAAAACACTCCCTGGCATTCTTGAAAACCTCCAATCTTTTACTTGACAAGGATTCTGTTATCAACTTCTTATTATATATCTATCTTAATCACAACAAAATAATATAAGAATTACCTCCCTTTCTCTCTATTTCCAGTTCATTAACAATTTCTTCTAGAGAAGCATCTAATTCCCTTTTTATGAGAAACAGAGACATTTTGCACAAAAACACACTCTTAACGCAGTATTCCATAAATGACTAAATTCGTTCGGAAATTCACCTAACAGACGCGTCTAAACTGGTTTCAAATAATACGAAAGATGATGCAATCCTTATATCTCTTCATACATCGTCCCAATCGTGCGTTTTTGCACCATTAATGTTTCAAGTCGTATTTTCAGAATCCATATTTTTATTTTGCGTTTCAAGATATATATGTGGAAAGTATGCACTAAAAACTTGCACTATTTTCTGTTAGTGCAGAATTTTATGCACTAAAAATAGTTTTATTTTCATTGTATATTTTGAACAGAAATGTTCAATAGAAAAGAATTGAAGTAAATATAGTTTAAATAGCAAGAATTATGAAATATTTTGATATGTATAGCCTAACAACCTTATACTGTTATCGTACAAACAGCTAACACCTTTAAATTTGGAAATGTATGGCTGTAAAATAATTTTAAAAACGGTGGTGCGTTTTTACACCAGTGGGACTAAATGGGTTAAACAACCGTTTTGGGTCAGAAATTGTAACTCCGTCAATATCTAATATTATATCTCTTTCAACATTATCATAAGTTTTAAATATCCGAAATGTCATCGAGACCTTTTTTCTTATTGGGTTTACTGGATTTCAAGCACCTTTTTAGTTGACTGAGCAAAATATCCAGTACTATCTAATTTTATGCGTTTCAAACTTGTAGATTTGGAAGCAAACAACTTCTTTGGCATATCCTTTAACGCACTATGTTTTGTTGACAAATCTCTCCAGACGAGAAGGTCTCATGGCATCATTGCTTAACACTTCGTAACAAATAACACACTGCGGTTGGTTGACATCATTTTTGTGTATAGCAACAAAACTATACATAATATTAGGGACTTACCATAATATCATAACCATCATGCAAACGAAAGGAGTTATCAGTACTCAGAAATGGTTTAGGTATTTAGGTAGGATTCCCTTACCTAATCCCATCTGTAGAAATACCAAAGCCGAAATATTCAAGAAGTAGGAACAAGCGGCTTTTTCAACATTCTATTTTTCCATTGATAAAATAATATGCATTTACTAACCTGGTCCCCATTTTGACCTTTGAAGACTACGTACCATGCGGAACTGAGCGATATACTTAACAAAAGTACTTTATATACAAGACATTTATAAAACACCTACGTACTTTTAATAACGTATACTTAAATACTTTTCAAAATAATCAATTAAATCCTTAAAAATATAATGTTATCGATCATGTTTAAATTATATAAATAAATCAATAAGTTATTAGAATTAAAACAAATTTGATTCTCGCTTTTTACGCCACTATTTACGAGTTTAGCACGTATTTATAATGCTAAGACTGAATAAGCTGAGATTATCCTCTCATTGCAAATGATGAGCACAATAAAATTGTTTGTTTTAACAAACTAGACATTGCTGAATACATAACAGAGTTTATGGTACACTTCCCAAGTTCTTTATAAACCGTCAATAATGAATCATATTTACTTATTTAACATTTGATTCCCCAAGATACGTCCTCTTTATTCTTGATTCATTTAAGTGGCTTAAAAACTTTCACAAAATCCTGTAACTTTAAACTTTAAAATCAGATTTGTCTACGCGGGTTTTAGTTTGAAACATTTCCTAACAACTCTACAAAACTTTTTAATTTTGTTCCAATAATTAAATTAAACTACTTTTTATGACTAACAATAGTATTGAGACGACTTCTTTTCTGAAGCCTTTTCTTTTGTTCACAACAATACCTCGTGCAAATATCGAGGAACAATAGTCGAAATTACAATAGAGGGTGAAATCTGTTGAATAAAGAGTGGAACAAACAAAAAATGATTTGGTTATTCAAAAAGAAATATCTCGCCCCCCCTTTTTTTGTGCGGTGATATTTTTTTCGTATTATTGTATATTTCGTATTAACATAGATCATCAATGTCTCTTGACCATCTGGTCGCATCAACTGATAAATAATTCGTTCCACAACCTGATAAAAGCACGCATCGTATGGCACGAGTGTTGCGCGAAGCTCTATTTTCGGAAAAGTCCCTTTGACAATTGAACCGTGCATTAAAAAATGTTTTTCGGGTCGTTAATTAATTAATTTTAAGCATTGTTCCCTATTTTCAGTAATGGAACTTTAAGAAATTCGAAGAAATTGTGGGTGAACGCTGTTAGGAGAGTGTCTTCTGAACGAAGAACAAGATTTAATTTTGCGGACGTGGCTCTCTCCGCGATGGAATCGAAAGGTGAACTTCATCCGAGACAACTTCATAGAACGTATAGTGTTCCGGACGGGAAAAGAATAAGAAGGGTTAATTTAGAAACCAGCCAATCGAGTGAAAAAGGTGAAACAATACCAACTTTGATCGAACCAAAACCAAAAGAGCGAGATAAGAAAGTCGAGTTGTTTCCGGATTTAACTAAACATAGAACTTCTTGTTTTATGGACGATGTAGAAACACTTCCGGATGTCAATAGTACAACCGTATTTAAAGGAGGGATTATTTTTAAGGGTATTTATTTACCTAGTTTAACAAATAGTTTTAATAATAAAAATTTGGAGTTGGCTTATTTGAGGTATTCTCATCGACAAAGACAAAAATCTTTGATTATTGTTAACATTGTTGATTTAATTTTAAAGGTAAGAAGATTTAATTCTTAGGTGTTTTAAAAATGGTGTGCTAAATGAATCCCAAAAGTGTCTAAAACCATTTTAGACTTAATAAGTCGTAACTTGAAAGGTATAAGACCAAAAACAATTATACAAATTTTATTTTCAAATTTTAGACACATTCAGAATATCGCTGTCGGTAACTGGAATACCTTTGCCGAAGATGAAACTCATAGATATGTTCCTATTGTCATTTATGTCCTCTTTGGACAATATTAGTGACCTACTTTAGAGAGCTATAATCGCATGAGATGAACTCTGTCTCATCGACTTAACAATTGCTATCTTTTATAAGATTTTTGCTACAAAATTCTGTTATTTTGATACTCAGTAACAATTTTGTATGTCCTGTTATCTATTGCTATGCCTATTATTCCATTCATTAATCAGTTGTTCTTATACCTTACCAAATTTCTTCTCTCCACTCATGTGTACAATCAACAGCTGTGTGCTATACACATAATATCTAATGCTATAATAACTTGCCCCCTCCACATACATAATACCTATCAGGTCTGTTATACGAAATCTCTTATAGTATCAGACTATGAACTTTCTACCCGCTCAAATATTTTCTGCAATTCCTGTAATACCTCATCCATTTGATGCATCCTTCCTTACTCTCATTCTGCTAACAATCTCACCATGTGAGGAAGATAACATCATCCTCCCACATCTGTTCGTACTCTCTGTTTTTTTTCCACGCTATGTTTAAACCTATCCTATCACGATTTACCTTTTCCCATAATTCTTCTTGTTATAGCTACGTTATTATGATCGGCATTTTTTTCGATTTTTTTCTTTTATTTATTCATTCTAAACCCACTTTCACGTCCCACTAGACATTATATTTTCGACCTTCGTTGAAATACAATGTCTATCTAACAACTTCAGATGTCATGTTTTTGCTCCATTAACTTCATCTACAAATGTACATATACACCTTCTTCTTTATGAGAAAAATGCACGAATGTATCTATCACCACTGCATCCCAATTAATATCTTCTCTTACGTTAACCATTTCTATGAGCGCAAAAATTGGCGATTCCACCTATCGCTTGTAACGTCTCCATACAGCTTCTGTATTCTTATAGTGCCAGAAGAAACATAGTCTCTAAGGTACATTTAGATTTCTTGTCATCATAGTATCTCTCGCCTTCTTCCTCATATATTAACATCAACATCAAACTTTCTAAACAATTAAATTGCACATTCCAACAATCACATCGTATTCCTTTTCCATAAACATACTCCCTACTACCTTGATTGTTAGTATAGACCAACGTTAAGTGTCATTTTTCACCCATTTACCTCATATACCGTTCCGAACCACTCACCGATACTATTCTACAACTATTCTACAATACACGCCCTTATCATAAACCTTGTGGGCCAACACTATTCTAAATGTAAGTACCTTACCGGTTTGCACAGTAGTGTGAAGTATTACATCTTATTCTTAAACACCATTTTTCTGATACCAGAACCACACCGTATTAATTGCGTTAGCCATATCGAAAGACTGTCATGGAAAGATAGAATCAGGTCCTCTCTCCTTACACTTCCTAACTATGTCAACTAAACTGTTCAGTACCAGAATGGTGTAGTCTAAAACTGATGCCATGAGATACTAGCCGATTCTTTTGTCTATCTCATCCCTATTGCATAGATAAAATGTGCTTGAAGTGAATTTCGTCGGAGTGCACGGAATGCATCTAAATATATTAGAATGTTGTAAAAAATCGCTTGTAGTAGATTTGTCAAGTCAATAGATGTTTTTTGTTTTGGCATAACTTCGCGAACTAAAAATACAAAAAAAACACAACATTTAGTTATTTTAGAAAAATTGTAAACCTTATTACTTACCTTATAATTCTCCAAGAAACAGTATCCTATAACTCTCCAATAGAAAGTGTCCAACATTTCCCCAAACCCTATGCCTCTAAAATGAAAATCAATTAATATAAATACTGACTTTATCTACCATTCCTTTGGTGAATGGAAATAACAACGCCACATAATATCTTTAGAGTACATTTACCTGAATTAATCCGAAGTAAGTTGTTTTGAAGCTACTAGATGATTGTTTTCTGAAAGTAAATATTTAAATGGGTGTTGCGCAGAGTACACACTACATGTTTATATAACCCGAGCGCTGATTGAAAAATGAATTCGTACAAATACAAAACGTTAAATTATATATGTCAAATTTATAACTACAAGAAATCAATTCCTTGTTACAGCTAGTTTTTAGCCTTTTCCATGTTAAATACTTCTGTGTCAAAAATTTCCTTCAAACTGTTCTAGCTACAAATCTATCTCTAACTGCTTGGTTTGAAACAGCCAATATTACATACATATATCAGTTACACGCATAGTTTCACCATCTTCCCGGCTTCTTTTATTAAATTAAAACCTTTCAGCTATGACTTATTATATTTGTATGTGTTGGTGAAAAATATTTCTTTAATACTTTGATCAACTTATCATACAGGTTTGAGCTTAATTTATCGGGAAGTTTTAGGCTAATTAACGTTGTCAGTCACAATGAATTGTTTCCTTCTTTAATATCACATAAACAAACATCAATGTTGATGCTTTATTCTTACAAAGTTTTCTTAATTATTTATCTTTTTATTGATGATGAAAACTAATTATAATGAACTAATTGCTGTTCGATAATTATTGCGCTTGATGTGGAGAAAGGTACTATCCTCTTTATTCATCGTCCATACGATCTTCTTTTTTCATGTTATTGTTATGACAGTAAATTTTTATAACTTCTGGTCAGCCTCTGACAACAGCAGCTGGTTTTTGGCAAGTATTTTTATCTTTTCCAAATCTGACAACGGATTGATCGTTTTTTCCCAACCTGATAGCACTTTCGTATTCTTTTACATCATTCATGTCCCAATATAATATCGTTCTTATAGATGAAGCAGGTTGACTGCTTACCGTATCTGTTATCTATTACTTTAAGTCCTTTAGAAGTCGTTCTTCATTCTTCAATTTTTTTCCGTTACATAGGAGTTCCAAAAGAGTACTTTTCGAAAGAGTGAAAATTACAGGAATTTTGTGCTGTGGATGGTAGTGTGATGCAGCTTAAAGGTACATGTTCACTTTCGATGCACTCCGTCTTTTAGTTGTCAATTGCTTGTCCTGATTACCAATACATCGTAAAATGGTAGTTGTTTCTTCTATTCTTTCTCCATGGTGAATTATATCATCGGCTGCTGGCTAAATGAGGTAAAATGGGTAAAAATGCAAAATAGCGAGGTTGTGAATTTTCTGTAAAAGTAGATTCTTAAATAACGTTCATCTTTCTATCAGTATTCTTCCCTTTATTGCGCATGCAGGTGTCTGGGTACATCAGAGTTTGTATGTTCTAGTTTTGTAGATAACCTCGTTAGCATTAATTAATCTAAAGGTAGGATGGCTGTTTCAGTGGCTGTCTCTCTCTTTCTCTCTCTTGTGATACGTAGCGCTTTTCGTTCAACAACTGAAAAGTTGTATTTCTCTTTAGCTGTTTTTAATATTCTTCCAATGTTTTCAACACTTACCACTGACACCATGTGAAACGCTATCTCTAATTCACACATACCTTGTTCTGGTGGCACCTGGGTTAGAGACCGTGAAGTTTAGGTTGAGCGATTTCAACGTTAAATTTGCTACTCGTAACATTATGTTGCTTGTTCTTTCTAGTAGTTTTTCTTCTTTTGGTTTTCTCTATCAACCTCAACCTACTAAGAACAAAACTTGTCTCAATAATATTTTTGACAATGTATCAAATTATTATCATTTGAGTTGTCCATTGTTGGCTCTGGTCATTGATACATCACGTAATAGTTGGTGGTTGTCCTTTTCTTCCTCTATGATGAATTTAAACATTGGATGTTGACCATTTAACACATAATAACAATATTTAACAAATAGCGAAAGAAATCCTGAAAGATTTCATTGCCGTGTATCCAACTTACAAAACTGACATCTCGGTATCATAGCCATAACTTAGCCGTTTCTTCGAATAGCTCCATATAGAAGTTGACGATGACTTGTGATACTGGCAATCTCATAGCTACTCCTCGATATCGCTCATAAAACTCTTCTGTCTAACTTAAGTAAGTCAATAACAGGCAAACCTTCACAAGTTTTGGGACGTACCCTAGCATTTCGTCATCATACATCATCTTTTCCGGCATTTTGGTAAAAATTGATTTTACGTCGATGTTGTCTAATATGTCCTGGAGATCCATTGTAATATTGCCAATTAAATCCGCAAGGTGTGTTAAATCTTTAACATGTGAGTCTCTTTCACTTTTACGAGGTATTCCGCAAGCTGGTGTATAGGTGAGATTATTGCGCCAAGTTTATGGATTTTCGGTAAATCACTCAGTAGCACGGTGCATGTAAAAACAGACTTTTTTATTTATGCAATAGACTATTCCTCGACGTAGTTACCTCGGCTATCTTCCTAACTGTTGAATAAATTTTGTTACTCTTGCCTGCAGATAGGACAATTTCAGTTTTTTCTATTACACCCCATAAAACTTTTCTTGCACCAACAATCGATTTGGACTTTGGTGGTTTGGCTGTTTTTAATACTCTTATGATTACCAAAATATCTTCCGCTTTTACCACTGGTATTCTGCGAATAACTACCTTTACTTCGCACATAATTTCTTCTTTTGACACTCGAGTTGGGAAGACCGCAAAATCTAACGCATTAGATAATATCGTCATTAGATAATAGCGAACGATCGATAATCACTGATTCCACTGATAAACTATCCTTCTTTTGCTATGTTCGACGTTGTAATGACTCCAATTTCACTCGGTGTGTGTTTTTCGACTCTTCTAGAACTATCATTCTACCTCCTCCTAAGTTATTCTATCGACATGTCTCAGTTCTGGTGTAATCGAGCTTCTGGTGTAAGCTCCACCATAAGAGAGCTTCTAAGTGAGAAACTACGATTTCTGTTATCGGCACTATAGTATCCTTCATCACTCTGTCATCTTTTTTCTTTCCAGTTTCAACTCTTTCAAGCTTGTTTCCTATTAACCATTTTCCACTTATTCTGTAGTTTATATAATCTTGTGTCCTCCATTTGACTTCTTCTGCAACGTATTCCTTTCTTTAGATTTTGCATCTTTATTTTTGTTTATCATTATATTGTTGCAAGCCTTTTTCTTTTGCTGATTTCATCACTACTTTTACTCTTGTTCTGTATTCTTAGAACTTATTCTTCTAACGTGATATTAAATAAATCTTCCACTTTACCATCTTACTTTGAATATCCTGATTCCTACCATCCTGTATCTCTCGTAGCCAAATCATTCCAAACAAAAGGAGTTAAACACAAGATATTTATTTATCTCAAGATATATCATTCTTTTATTGCTAAATAAATTTTAACCTATTTATGTACGTAGATTTGTGTTTAGAATTGTGTGAAAGATGAAGTAAAAAAGAGATCAAAAATAAGCGTTTCATTTTATTGAAAAATTAAATATTCTTTTTGCATTTCAACACACTATTTTTAAAACACCGTACATTTTTTATTTGGACATTTTTCTCTGCCACTTTTTTGCTTTTTAGGTAGCTTTGATATCTGTTTGTGCTGCTGAAACTAATGTGGGAAGCGATGTAGACGCTATAATATGGTCGGTTTGTTCAATGACTGCGAATATAGCAGTGTGTGTTTTAGGATGGTGGAGATGTTTTGCAAATAATTATCTTCACTGGGCTGCACTTTGTACATGGTTACTTTTAAACGTTCAAGGTTACCACTTTTAAATTCCAACATAAAAGAAAATAATGTTTGCGTTATTTTTTTTTAGGATTTTTAGGAGAAGGATTAGGTTTCGGTAAAACCGAAGAATTAGTTTGGTATGTTCTTTTTACGGTATTCGTTCCATACGCAATGCTTCCTTTACCATTAAGATGGTGTATGATTGCTGGATGTCTTTCGGCTGTTTGTCATATTATTATTCTCGTTATAACACTAACAAAAAGCTCAGAACATAGCGATGATGTAAATATTTTCCTTAAATTATTCTTTATTGTTATTATTACTATTATTTTAGTGGAAAGAATGTTTTAAAGACCGTATAATAGCGAATACACTTCTTTATATAACAGTTAATTTTGCGGGAATGTACACAAAATACCTAACAGATAGAAGTCAAAGAAAAGCATTTTTAGAAACACATAAATCAATGGAAACTCGTTACAAAACTCAAACCGAAAACGATAAACAAGAAAAGTTACTTTTGTCAGTTTTGCCTGATTTTGTTGCAAAAGAAATGATAAGAGACATCGCGAACGAGGACGGTACGTTCGAAGTACATCAATTCCACAAAATTTACATTCAAGTACACGACAATGTTAGCATCCTCTTTGCGGATATAAAGGGTTTTACAGGTAAGACTTAGTGAATTGGTAATAACTCCGATTTGCATTTAATTTGTACTACGAACAACGAACTTATTAAACTTATTGTCGTCTATCACAGCCCTCGCCAGCCAATGCAGTGCTCCAGAACTCGTTAAGATCCTCAACGAACTGTTCGCAAGATTCGACAAGCTCGCTGCGGTATAATCTCTCCTCTCCAGAATAATAAAACAACTTTAATTTATTTTTTTATGTTGATTTTGCAGGAAAATCATTGTTTACGTATTAAACTATTGGGTGATTGTTATTATTGTGTTTCCGGGCTTCCAAAACCTAGAACTGATCACGCTCATTGTTGCATTGAGATGGGACTACATATGATTAAAGCTATTAGAGATATTAGACATAAAACGCAGGTAAGTAAATAGATTATAAAGGAATTGTTAATTTATGTGTGTTTCGGTTAAAATACTTACTTAATTTGGAAAAATCTAGAAATTATTATGAAGTTTAAATTTGACACTTATGTCAAATGTCATTATTATGTGGGTAAGTTAGGAAACGAATTTTTATTACATTATCAAAATTATTTATTTATATTAATATAAATTTAATATAAATTATTATTTATATTTCAAACCAGAAATCAATAATTTTACTAAGATTAAGACAAAATATCATATGCGAAATAATTATAAATGAAATCAAAAACTATTCACTAAACGTTGCAAAAAAATTTAATTAATTTTTTATAAAATTATGAATTAATTAAAAGCTAAAACGTTAATTTAACAATAAATTAATACTTGTAAAGGAGTCATTTTAATTTGTATTAGATAACATAGGAATCAGGTCGGGTTTCTCGTTACAGTTATCTGTAATACTACACTACCGGCATTGTAATTATTGACGTTTCTGTCAATTTGGAGGTTATAATCAACATTCCCAAAAATATTATTAAAGCATTTAAAATGTTATCTACTATAACAATTACCGATGAAGACTGTAAAATAATATTAAATAATTCCGAATACAAAGAACATCAATACTCAGGTAAAGAATTACTGCCATTTACTGAAGGTAGAAGCGGTGTTTTAGGCGAACATTACAAGTTAAAAATAAAATTAAAGGAAACACCGGAGGTTGTTAAATGTTTTGTGAAACGTGTATCAAAGTTCAATAAAAAAGAAGAAGGATTTTATGGAAAAATTGTACCAAAACTTTTTGAATACCAAATTGAGTCCACTAAAGAAGTTTTACCCAAGTGCTATTATATAAAAAATTCTGAGTATATTGTATTAGAAGATCTGAATAGGTGTGGGTTTTTCTCTATAAATACAAAATCTTTGTTAAATGTAACCCAAGTTGATCATTTATTATCATCTTTAGCAAAATATCATGCAGCAAGTATTACTTATGAGATTAAAAAAGGAAAGGAATTAGATAAAGATTTTCAATTATGTGAAGAATTTCCTGATGAGCTTAAAGAAGTTTATTATCGTAATTTTCCTGATGGAAAAGATGTTCTTTTATCTATAAAAAATACGATTGCATCACAAATTAATTTATTTGAAGACATAGTATGCAAAAGTACACCAAAAGATAAATTAATTACTAGTTTAGAACAACTATGGGATTCAATCAAGGATTATGCTAAACCATCACAGCAATACAAAAATGTGATGTGTCATGGAGATTTATGGCAGTCAAATTTAATGTATTCAACTTCAAAATCACAATTTGCTATAATCGATCAACAAATGATAAGATATTGCCCACCAGCTTTAGATGTGATGGGCTTTATTTATCTTACTACAGATAAGGAATTAAGAAATAATCATCTTAATACTTTACTAAAAAAATATTATTGTTATTTGAGGAATGAACTCCAAAAATATCAAATATATTTGGATGTTTTAATACCAGAAGAGGAGTTTTTAAAATCTTGTGAACATTATAAATTATTTGCAATTATGCAAGCATTTAGTTATGCCCAAATTACTTATATACCATGTCAATTATTTGAAAAAATAATGGGTGGTGATGATGGAAAAACGAAATTTTTATTCGAAAGTAGAGCTTCTGTTGTTAAAAATTTGTGTGAAGAAGAACCTGAGTATAAAAAGAGACAACTTGATGTGTTGATTGATTTTGTTGAATATGCTGAGAAAAATATTTAAATTCTAATACTATTTCATTTTTAAGATTTTTTCTATTATAATCATGTTATATTAAATAAAAATTTGATGATGCATACTTAACTTCCTTTCATTTTAATTTTTTTTTACTTACAAATAAGTTTAGAAATGTTTTACAAACATTCTCTGGTTGTGGTGTTTGTTCTTCAAAAGCAGTGTGTGAAGTGTGTCTCAAACTCTCTACATCTATGTATTATTTCAAAAATTTGCGTTACACTTAGTACTCCTTGTAAAAAAATTGCGTATACTTTAATATACAACAATCAAATTCTATTTATTTGGGATACATTAAGAATTCATGTATCCCTCTTTGGAAAACACTGTTCTAGATTATGAAAAACAACTCTAGAAGTTCGCATTTCATTATCGTCATTATAGTTACCAACCTAATTTGTGCTATAGCTGGAAGGTGATGGCGTAGGAGTAGGTATTGTTATTTGTTGGAGAATTTGAAGGATATTATTTTTGTTGAAACTGGTTATGACATAGTGAACAGATGATATTGACAACCGGGTTTATTTGCAAAAGTATTTCGTTGATAGCTTCACCACTATTCCAAATGTTTTGTACTTGACTTCAATTTGCAGTTGGGAACTAAACGTTTTTACTGTTTCAGTCATGCAAGCAAAAAATTGCTTTAACAAGTCTTAATTAATTGGTGGCTTTTGACTACTTTGTTCCTCATTCAAGTGTTTAAAGTACTTCTGCTACTTAATTCTGTATTTCTTTGGAGTAGCACGTCTGATTGTAGACATCGACAATAATCTGGGAATAGAGAAGAATCATCTACTTGGCTGTTTTCTTCTTCCCCAAGAGTATTCTGCGTTTCAGCCTGCTCAACAACAGTTTGGAATGTCGTGTATCGAGTTTGCGATGCTATATGGAAAAATCTACTCCTTTCAAAGAAACTTGGACAAAAAATGAACCCGATTTTCAACCAACATTAAAAATTTCAAACTGTGCCATTGATGAAAAACATGTAGTTACAGGCAATATTGTTATATTTGCATTTGTGAACGCTTATTGTAATTTTACCGCCATGGGGGAATATTTGCAAATTTAATAATCGGAAAGAAATTGCTTAAAAATACTTTGTAAGTATTTCTGCTCCATGTCTTTATCACAGATGAGGCTTCCTCCTTTACATAAACTAAATGTTTATGCGTCCTTATCCACATTAAAATATATAATTTCATACTTAGTAGAGCTAGACCTGTTTCAGGAAATACTTTCGAAAGTTTGGCAAAAAGATTTCGTGTTTACTTGAGATATACAAATTACATCTGAGCTAGTGAGCACTATCGAATAATTCCATAGTTTCCAAGTATTCGAATAATTCGATATTATAAAATTTATTCGAATGAATAAATGGTATTTGTTGATTGCTGAAACAAATTAAAACGCAAAAGGATAATTAAAATAAAAATATCGAAAGTACTATTCATACACTCATTTGACAAGAATCAGTAGTCGTACAATGAGCTGTCGTCTCGACAGTAGAATTTAGAGAGTGAAAGTATGGAGTTGAAATGGAGTTATTAACAAAACAAATACACTATTATAGTCAATATTTAAAAACGAAAAGACTATAACACATACTAAAAAAATATTATATATATTACTGAAATAGATTTAAATTACTAATTAATTATTTAAGAAAATAATCATGTTCAAGTTTTTCCCAGAAAGTTTGTTTCGACGTTCATACATAATTTGGCCAGCTTTCGAAAATACTCGTTCTGAACGAACGGATGTAGCTGGAACGCACCAATATTTTTTATAAAGTTCGTAAATTTCTGGCAGTGATTTTTGTGGCGCATCCAAACTCAATTGGATTCTCAGTTGTGCGAGCGAGATCTTTAAATATTATCTTACAATCAAAGTCGTACTCGTGCTTGATATTGAACTGTTTTTCAAAGTACCAACTTTTTGATCAAAATGTTTTCTTCATCATCAATATTGTTAGTTACAGTTTCAATTGTCTGTTTTTCAACTGCCTCATTCTTATTTTGCAAAACAGACGATATTTCAGTAATAATTAATTTTTGCACTGTGTCTGCATTTCCCTGATCACCAAATGCAGCTTTTTTAAATCTGGGATTTAAAAACGTTACTTTTGAACAAAGTCAATTTGATTCTAAGATACAAAGTCGCCTTCTTACAAACCTCATCTTGTAAAGCCAGTTTTAAAGATTCTACACTGGTTGTTTTGGGAGTGCGGTTTTTTAGTGATTGCTGTAGACATTTTACAAGAGGAATAATTAACGACATGGCTGTATATTTCTCACCTGACAATTCAATAGTAATCTTTTCAAATGGTTTCAAGATGGAGACTAAGTCTGTCAATCCCATTCTATTGCTGTAATGAATTCTGGAACTAATGGTAACGATGTTATAGCAGCTGATAGTTGGTCTTTAATCGCTAAAAGTCTTTCTGTCATAATTAAAGAAGAGTTCCATCTAGTAGACACATCTTATATATACCTGTATGGGCTTCCGGTATTTGCTAAAACAGCATTATGTATTAAGTCGTTAAAAAAAGTGACTAGTTACTGATAAAAATGCTTTATTGCTGTCAGAAGTCCATATATCAGTAGTTATAGCGATATGAACAACTTTTGCTAATATTACTTTAACTTTCTCACAAATTTGATTATATGTGCTAAGTAATATTTTCAAAGATAATAATTTTCTGCTTGGTGGTTTGTATAGTGGCTGTAACTTTTTAGAGTATTTCAAAAAAACAAGATTTTCTACAATTGATAAAGGTCAATTGTAGAATCATTTTAATTAATCTTTGTTTGATCTTCATCTTTCTCAATTTCCGATAACTCGGTTTTTTTCTGACAAATAGTTTAATTTGTCGAGATCGTTTCATGAATTTATGAGATGGTGTTATAGATGTGGATTGACCATGTTGATCTTGAACTTGAGACTGTATTAATGTGGATAACAGCTGGTAATCTTGGGTTGATGTTGACGGTTCATTATTATATAATTGTTGCAATTCATCTAGCCTATTTAAACTATCTAATTCAAGATACCAGCAATTTTTTTCAAAAAACTCCCATACAACTGACCGTTTTTTATTACAAGCCATTTATACAGGGTGTTCATTTCAAAACTTTCCACCTCAATTTCTGTAAATCCGGAAGAAAATCGCTGAAATAGGTAAAGAATAAAACCAAGGGGGACAACTTTTTATGCAAAAATTGACTCACTCACTTCAACCCCCCGCCGCCAGAAACCAACCCCTTAAAAATCTTAAATGGAAAGGGGTGTCAAGTGATACCTCATTTTAAAGGTCTTTTAAGGTACTACATGTTAGTATTTATTTTTTTTAAATTGATCGATTCGTTTTCGAAATTTTTGCGAAAATCTTTGTTTTGTATTTCCCGCTTTAATTAATATTAAAAACTTTAATCACCTTCTTAAAAGCAAGAATAAGTAATCTTTTATTATTAATTTATAAAATTAAATTACCATGTTNTCATACGGCAGTACGGTATGGCGACTTGTGTACCATTTCTTAAATTTATCTGAGTGTCCTCTTTTCTGCATGTTAATGAAGGTAATTCTATTTTAGCCTTGCAAAGTTGTTGGTAGATGTACACGGATGGAAGTGTGAGTACATTATATTTTTTAAATAGGGGCTTACAGTGAGTTCTTGGATGCGCCTGTTCAATTATTCTTAGCGCCTTTTTCTGCAGAATGAAAACAGGCATTGTATGACCAGACGCTCCCCAAAGGCGTAGTCCGTAGCTCATCTTGCTGTGGAAAAAAGCAAAGTAAGCGGTTCTAGCAGCAGAGGCGTTTATTATTTGGCGAATTCTTAAAATAGCGTAAATGGCAGATGACAGTTGTTTCACCAATATGTCGCTATGATCTTTCTAAGTGAGTCTACTGTCCAAGTTGATACCTAATAGTCTGACGGTAGCCGTCTTTTGCTTAGTGTTACGATTAGTAGTCAAAGTGATTACTTCGGTTTTGTCATCATTTAAGGTCAAACCGTTATTACTGTCATTCAGCAGCCTCCTTCAGAGCACAAGCTGAGCCACTCTCTATCAAAGTTGTATCATCTGCATAGAGTATGGCTTCAGATGAAATATTTTGAGGTAGATCGTTGATATATAAACAGAAGAGAAGTGGCCCCGGCAGCGATCCCTGCGGTACTCCGTTTATCACAGGTAAACAGGAACTCATTTCACCGTTGAGGCTGACCGCCTGACTCCTATCTGTTAGGTATGAAGTAATCAGTTCCAGTGGTCTTGCACGTATACCATATTTTTCCAGCTTGGCAATTAGAAGAGTATGTTGAATGGAATCAAAAGCTTTTGTTAGATCACATAGGATCGCTGTTGTTTCATCTCCATTTTCCATAGCTTCCTAAACATTATTAAGGAGAGCCTCCACAGCATCAATTGTGCTTACACCTTTTCTGAATCCAAACTGTTTGTTGCTAAGTAGCTTATACTTTTCGAGATAAGATGTTAATCTGTCTAGTAGTGTCTTCTCAAATACTTTTCAAAATATTGGTAATATGGAGATCGGTCTATAATTTTAACTGTTCTCCTTTTTTATAGATTGGTGTTACCCTTGCAATCTTCATTACTCTTGGTACAACACCTTCTTCATAGCACGAATTTATTATATTAGCTAAAGGAGCAGATATTTGGTCGGCACTGTACTTTAGAATTTTAGTGTTTAGAAAGTGTCTGTCCATTGAACTTTTGCATTTCAAATGTGATATGGTTTCTTTAATTTCATTTGGAGTTACGGGTGTGAGGAACATGGAATGACTCTGAGATTTTATTTTAGCAGCAGCTGAAGCTCCAACGTTACATACATTGTTGCCGATGCTTGCGAAAAATTTGTTTAGCTCATCCTTCGATGGTTGATTATTCGTTGTCCTCTTATTCCTTTGAATTTCGCCGTTGATAATTCTCCACATCCCAGCTTCACGATTACCAGACTCTTGGATACTTTTAACATATTGATCCCTCTTACGCTCTTTCGCAACATTAATATAAAAATCTTTGTAACTCTTTAGAATTTCTTTTAAATCTTCACCGCCATGGGCGTTATAAGTTTCTTGTATGAGATTTAATGTTTCTTTCACCTGCAGAGTTTGAGCATCCATTACATATTGTTTTCGTTTACGTGGTCTTTGTTGAATTGGGAAAGCGATATTTACGAAGTGTAAATATAAATTTAGAAAAACATCGTGTTTGTTTTCAGTCCCTACTGTATTAAAAACAGTGTTTCAAGTTGTCGCTGTTCGAGGCGTTACAAGACTCTTGTGTATTCAGAGGTAGTTGACTTTAAACCCAAGCAAGCCATAGTATTAATGAGTTCCCGTGTAGCCCCATTGAATATTAAAGTGTCTATGTTGAAATCTCCTGTTATGACGATTTTGGTTTCCGTTTTAAATTTTTGCATTAGACCCAATGTTACCATTTCTACTTTTTCAAGAAATAATATATATTTAAATTAGCATTTGGAGATCTGTACGTAGTCATGATGATTATATCTAACTGCGTTAAATAGATTCCAGCTATCTCACATTCCACTTCAATTGAGTGTGAAGACAAGTTTTCAATTTCGATATACTTGTAGTCATTACGAACATATATACAGACTCCGCCAGCTTTATGTTGTGTTCTTATAAAGTAGCAGGCTTGTGTGTAGGAGTCTATGTCAAACATTTTTGCATTTGATGTATTTAACCAGTGTTCGTTAATGCAGAGAATGTCAATTTTATTTGTGTGTGCGATAACCTCTAAAGCTTCAACTTTATTTGAAAGCCCCTGTTTTTCTTGCGCGGGTGAAAAAACCGCGTGACGTAGGCGCCCTGTGGCCATAGGTGAGGGATCATAATTTTTTCAAAATTTCCCAAATCTGCAGTAATTTTGAAAGATGAATAGTATTCTGGATGTTTTGAATTCACGCTGTATATTATTTTATGCACACTATTTGTATCTAAAAGACTATTACAAACAAATTGTTTGAATAAATAGTTCGAATCATTCATTTTTCATTTTTTTTCATTTCTCCTGTAATTTCCTCCAGTGCGTTGTCCTTACGTTGTTAATCATAATAGCTACAGACACTAATACCGTATAACTCTTTATATTTTTGCACTAAACAAATCTTAATTTGTTTAAAAAAAAAGAAATATCAAATAACCTTATAATTAACGCTTATAGAGACTCCCCATTCTAAAAGCGTCCAATCTCCGACTAGTAAAAATTAATTTCAAATGAATTTAACTCACTAAAAAATTGAGGTTAAAAGGAATGAATTTGATAAATACAATAAAACGTAGAGTTTTATTTTATTAGGTACTGTGTAACACACATCATACATAAAAGATTAATGAATCTACGATTTTTAATTATAATTATCTAAAAAATCTAAAATACATTCTTTTTGTTTTTCTTTATAACGAACATTTTCATCGCACAATTTAACTAAACTCTCACTTTTATCTTCAAAAATAAATTTCTGGAGTGCAAAGGGGTTTTCAAATAACTTCTTAACAGCGCTTGGAGATAACTTAGTCATATGAGAATGATTCAAATTCTGAACCATACCAAAAGGTTCGTAATATTTTACCGAATCCCAAAAATCCGTTTCAGAAACAATGTTTTCGTCAATTTCGTATTTTTCGAGTATTTTTTTCAACTCTGCGTAATAATATTCCAAAGAACTCTTTAAATGAGTTTTTCTAAACTCTCTAGTTGTGCATAAATACAAAAATGATATAACATCTTGTGCAGGAGGAGCGTAACGAATCATTTGATAATCGATTAATTTCGATTTAATTTCATCACCAGATTTAAACATTAAATTTGTGATCCAAGGATCTGCTTGGCAAATTACGTTGCGGTATTTTAATGATGGTTTGGCAAATTCGTTTACGTTTTTCCAAATATTAACAACGAAAGATTTAAATTCGTCCCGATTTTCGATTTCGATTTCAGGGAATAAATCGATTTGGGTTATTATTCCTTTGGTTGTTGAATCGACGCTACGAACGTTATAAATTGTGTGTCCGTAGAACGATTCTTTTAATTCATTTTTGTAATCGTCGATTAAACGATATTGTTTCCCGATTGCTTTGCTGCGTATTTCTTCGTAAATTAAGGAACTTGCGTGGAATTTTGCGAATGTGCTTAACGCTGAGTTGACGAATCCAGAAACTAGGGATTGTCTCGAATCAAAAATCGTGTAATTTTTGAGTGAGAGATCTTCTAAAAATAGAATGTTTGGTTTTTCGTATTTATAACTAGTTGGGACTACATCCTCCATTTCTTGGATGTTGCATTTTTTAAATTCCGGAATTATTTTGTGATAGAAAGAGTGTTCTTTAAAAAAAAGCCTTGTTGCGTCCGCGAATTCTCTCATCATAGCAACTCTCGGTTCTGATTTAAGAAAAAATCTTAATACCTGATCGGATTCTTTGATGGAAATCTTCAAGATTGAATGCTCCCCCATAAAACCACACTTAAAATCGCCCAATGGTTCTAAAGTACAATTCATTACCGTACATTTTTCCCCAATTATTTTTTGAGCTAAATCTTCACAAAATTTGGATGGAATGTTTAAAAAATCCATTTTTTAAAGTATTTCGATGGTTTCTTTGAGAAGTTCTTAAGGTAACTAATATTTGCTAAATGAAATCGATCCTTAAATACTAAACGAGCGACTCATATTTGTTGATAAGTTGAATTGTTAGTAAGAACGATAAAAAAGTATGTTAGAAGTTTAATCATGTATTATTTCGTTTGTAATTTTTCTATTGTGTGGTTTTATAGAGTAACTAATATGGGTAATTGTAAATTTAATGAGTTTAAACATTTTTGAAAATTATTTTCACGCAAAATTTATTTATTTATTTAAAGCCGGATACAGGATGGACCTAATAAAACCGTACCACAGCAAGAACAACAAAATAAATCAGTAACAGTGCAGAATTAGTGAACAAAAATAATAATAATTATTATTAAAATAAAAGTAACTCTATAATCAACATGACATATAAAAATTTAACGAGATATCAAAGAAAGAAAAATAAATGCAAGCATATTTAATTACATATCTCAAATTAAACAAGATATCACAAATTAACAAAACAAAATATAAGACTTAACGAAATATCGAAAAAATAACAACGTATAACCAGACATGCGCGATGCTATTGATGGTATGAGGCAAACAGTCTTTGTCTGAACGATAAAAATGAAAGATGTCAACATCAATTCTATCTGCAGTTACAGAATAACAGTTATTCTGTGTCATACTCATAATATTGCGCCAGTTTTGGCGGGATACCCGTTGGTGTCACTTTTGGTTATTCTGTGCTGCAGTTTTCGCCATTCGTAACATGGGGAGCTCTGAAAAGTGTTGGTTCGAGGAGTCGGAGTGAAGAACAAAAAGTCTAAACGCAGTAAATGAGCCTGAACATGCTTGTTAACACCACTGAGGAGTGAATGAGAATCACATATATTATGTAGAAGCTTAAAAAAGAAGAGTACATCACCACAGGCACGTTTTAAGTCATCCACACACATAAGACAAAGAACAAATTTTTTGCCACATCAAATATATCATTTATGGAGATGTTGAACATCAAAAGGCTAACATGACTGCTTTGAGGAACTCCCTATGAAATAATATAGGCTCCGAACAGTAATCATTAACCAAAACTATTTGTGACCTCTCTATTAGGTAGGAACCAAACCATTGAAGCAGTTGACCATGAAATCCAAATTTCTATAGCTTGGATAACAGGAGGTCAGGTCAACTCGATTGAAGGCCCTGCTAAAATCTGTATAAATTAAACCAACCTGACAACATTGATCCATAGAATTTAGAATAAAATCATTATATTCGAAGAAGTTTCACTCCACTAAGCGGCCAGCAAAAAAATCATGCCAAAGAAAAGTCGAGTATGGACTAATACTGATCGACAAGATTTTTTCCATACTTTTTGTTATTTATTACTTTACTACATAACCTCATTACAAAACACAAATTATTTTGTTTCTGTCATCCACAAGCATTAAATTTTCATTTAAAGCATACACCAGCTAATCGTTGTTAGTTTCTCAACATGCAAAGAAAGTGTATCAATCATCCTAACAGTTTTTACTACGTATGTGGTGAAGTAACTTTCAAAAGTCTGTGACGAATTTTCGAGATATCAGAAAATGCTTCATCAGGCTTATCAAGATAAGGATTCTAAAGAATCTTATAGGTTGAGCAAACGGAACGCAATATATGGCTTTCGGAAAATCCATGATTTGGGTTGAGCTTGTAGATCACGTATCTGCAAGTTTTGCCTGAATAATATAAATGAAATAAATATGACGTCAAACCATACTGTGAAATATGCATATGCAAACTCCCTCATAGTGCTGATTTAGCTATACCTGCAGTGCCAAATCAGACAACTGAATGATTTGACAGCAAATGATTGGCCATCGATTTACCTTCATGTAGTGCAATTGCAGATGAAATTTATGATGAGAATATAACCTATGTATCTGATAGTAAGGAACCTCATTTACAACTTCATATTTTCAAAAAAGCAGTCTGAACTATTAAAATCCAGATTGAATGAATGGAATTTGCTCCATCCCAGATACTAAGGTATGTCGTTTTCCTAGCCGTGGCGAAGAACTAAAAAAAATACTCTTCACAACAAGAAAATTTAGTTTGTTGCAATGATATTACTTCAACTATGAACTTTATAGTTATTAAATTAGAACTACAAGATTTCTAGTAGGGTTAGTAGTAACTACAAATTTATACTCGTCAAAAAACAGCTTAAAAATTGTACTATTGCATGATGGAAATCCAGTATGGAAGTTCCTACTGGAAAGTGCTAGAAATAATACAGCATAATACATTTTTATTTAAATTATGTGATGACTTAAAAATCATTGGTTTACTTCCAGGATTGCAACTGGCTTTTACAAAGTCTTATTGCTTTTTATGTGAGTAGGACAGCAGCAATTCAAACATTTACCGCAAGAAAGACTTGCCAAAGTGTGAGTGATTCACTCCTCTTGAGAAAAACATCTTTTATGTCCCCGTCTTGTCAAGCCCACTAGAATACTTTTACAACCTTTACATATAAAACTATTTTTGATAAAAAGTCTTACCAAAGCCATGGATCGCAACCGTTCAGAATTTATGTACTTGAAAGAAAAGTTTTCTAAATAATTATAATTTATTCGTGGTTTTCATACATTAAGTATTTTCACACGTCATAAAAAGATACAATATTTCTTTACAAAAAGTATACACAAGAACTAAAAAAAATATTGGACAAGAATACGTGCTGGTAGGTGAACGATCGATAATGGTCTACGTAACAGTTTGGCCAATAAAACTAAAATCAGCACTAAACAATTCGTCAGAGTTATAAAAGGTACTGACGGTCAAGAATACCAAAATCGTGAGTCTAAAAGATAGAGTTGGTAATGTTTGGCTGTTAGAAGATAAAAAATTTACTCTCCTAAGCGGGGGAGTTATCCGAAAAAAATGTGGAAATGATTAAATTGGAATTGATATTGATAAAAAAAAATCTAATAAGAAAAATTAAAAAAGAAATGTTCTTCATTGGCAGAAGAAGAAATTCTTAACCCTTAAGAAAAGGCTTAACCCAAGAAATGTTCAAAATTAGCACCACCAACATCCATACAAGTGTATATATTTTGTTCAAATTTTTGCCTAACATTTTCCAGCATTTTAGGAGTTATTTTCCTGCATTAATCAAACATGCGCTGGCGTAACTCTTCCAACGAATCGTACTCGGTAGCATAAAGTTTTGATTTTAATTGCCCCCATAAATAATAATGTAAAGCCATTCTACAGCACCTCTTTGACTTATCAATTGACCGCGAAAGTTTCTATCTAAGAACTTCCTAACAGCAACGGTGCAGTACCATCTTGCTGGAAAAATAAATGTTGTTCCGAGTATTTTTCATCGTTCTCAACAATTTCAATTAAGGTAAGGTACACTAAGTTTTCCAATATTTCAAGATATAGTTCTCCTGTCAAACTACCGTCTATAAAGATTGGTGCAATGATGCGATCTCTAAAAATACTCGCAAAAACATTGAATTTTTGTGTAGTTTTAGTGTGGGCTACATGAAAAACATGAGAGTTTTTATCTGGTCAGTATCGACAATTATGATGATTCACAGTACCATTTAGAAAGAAGAACTTTCGTCAGTAAATGAAATATTAAAAAGAAATTGCCTACTGTAAATTATTTTTTGAGAAATATTTTCGCAAAAATTTTATTTTATAAGGATGGAACTTGAAGTTTTTCAGAATTCTTTGAATAGTTGTTCTAGGAACACAGCCAATTTTGTTGTACTTACAGTTGGATCTGCACTAACTTGCCCTATTATTTCCAGGTTTGTGAGTTCATTGATCACAGGAAATTCACTTTCAGGGTTTCTTTTTTTATTATCAGGGTGCATGTTATTGCTATGGTGTATACAATGAAACAGTGTGTCATTGTGTACGTCGTTTCATTGTAGGCCATGTATAAAATAACGATATTCTTCTAACACAAGTAGCTTTCCTACTAACTGGGTATCTGCTAAAATGAGGTGCGTGGAGTGACTTAGATCTTTTAGGTTCAGACATCCAGATTTATCATCATTAAAAAACCTGAGATGTGCAGTTTGGCGCGTGCTACTGCTTTCAATGGAGAAACCGTCGATACATTTTTCAAAAATTTGCAAAATGTTATGGATCATCACCCATTTTTCGGCAATGGTTGTAGGGTATACAATTTGGACGACGCATCATCGTCATGGCTTTCAAAGGGCATCCAAATCTAGGCAAGATTACTAGTGATGAAAAGGGGACTTTGGTGACTACATGCGCGATTGTATGCGCTTCAGGGCAAGCTATACCTCCAGTTCTTGTTTTCCCGAGGAAGTATTACAAGGACTTTATGTTAACTGGTGCAGCTCCAGGATTCTTTGGACTTGCTAACCCGAGTGGATGGATGAATACGGAGCTGTTCTTCCAAGTCATACAGCACTTTATAAAACATACTTGTGCATCTTCAGAAAACCCTGCATTGTTAATAATGGATAATCACGAAACCAATCTGAGTGTTCACACTTTAAATGTAGCAAAAAAATCTGGAGTCTGTGTTCTTACTCTGCACCCACACACGACAGCTAAAATGCAATCGTTTGATGTGGGCTTAAACGGACCATTTAAAACTTATTATAATAGCTCTGTAGATTCCTTGTTGCGAAGAAATCCAGACAAACAGATAATTATTTACAACGTTGCCAAGTGTATGGGTCAAGCACATCTAAAAGCAATGACGCCTTCAAAAAATGTAGAATTTTTCCATACAACGCGGATGTTTTTGAAAAAATAGATTTAATGCCGTCACCGACAGAGAACAACCAGGACCATCTACAGAATTGCCACCTGTGATATGATTCTGCTTCTTCAAACCACCTCCGATATGAGTTAAACAATGGCAGTCTTTCATCAGAGGCAACATACGCTGAAGGCCCTATTCTACAAAAAGCTACACACACATAACATAAAAGCGAGAGGTGATCAAGACGAAGCTTGACACCCACAGTGTCAACATCATTAAACCAAGAGGATTGCAATAAGATGGGGAGTAAGGCATCAACACCGAGCAGAGCACCTCCACCGCGAAGGTTATTATTAGAGACATTTGGGTGATTACGACTGAATCCTTTAAAATAAGGGAAGGGAGAACTTCAGATAAGTAAATACCGGAATAAATTTAAATAAAATTCTACTGATTTTAAGGGAATACATATCTATTAGAAAAAAAGTATTATAAAAAAATGCCTTTTATTTTATAAATATGCACAATAATCTAAAAGATCTAAAATTGATTCATTTAATCTATTTCTATAAATTGCATTCTCAACATTTTTGACAATCATAGGAGTTCTATCTTCATTTAAAACAGTCCATCCCAACTTGGAGTCATTCATAACTTTTTTGAGATAATCTTTATCAGCTAAAACCAATTGGAGATAAGTCGCCGTTTGTAACAAAGCAAATAATTTTTGGTTTTCACAACTCGATACGAAATCATCAAAATTCCAAATTTCTTTAATATCTATGCCATGTACTTTAAGAAATTTTTCCATAATCGTGTAATAATTGCCGATTATTTCGTATAAGTTATTTTTGCGGAATTCTCTCGTTGTATTTAAATATAAAAATGACATCAAATCGTGTGAAGGTGGTGAGTATCGTCCTTGTTGAAAATCTACAAATACACAATCGATTGGTTTGTCGTTGTCATATTTAATGAGGAAGTTCGTTGCCCATAAATCTCCGTGGCATAAAACGTTTCGGATTGTTTTACTCGGTTTTGTTAATTTGCAAATATCGAAAAAAATGTTTTCGAGGACTTCTTTAAAGTTTTTGCCGGAATTTAATTTTTTTGGGCAATCAAAAATGTCGATTTCCGATAAAATTCCTTTTAAAGAAGCCTTCATTCCACTTGCGTTAACAAAATTTTCTTTATCGTTAAAAAAAGTTTCCTCAAAATCATCTTGGTATTCATCGATTAATCGATATTTTAATCCACGTTGTTCGGATTGTTTTTGTTCGTAAATAATCGTGCTGGCATGAAATTTGGCTAAAGATTGTAAAATTATTTTCACTTCGTCATAGTTTAAAGTTTGCATCTTATCAACTAATTTAAAATTTCTTTCGGACATATTTTCTGTTACTATAACATGATCGTTTCTTGAAAAATAATAATTTGGAACACAGTCTAAAAGATTCGTTGATTGCTTAATAAGATCCATTAATTCATAAACGAAAATCTCCTTTTTAAACGCCCCAGATTCAAGACAAAAGTGCCTTTGCGTTTCGGAAGAATACGGAAAAAATTTAACAAAAAATGTTACATCATACTCTTCCCTTCCATTTATAAAAATATTTACTGAAGTATTTAAAATCATGTGATCGCCCAACAATCCAATTTTTCCTTCAAATTCGCTTAAAAAGAAATTTAACACTTCAAAACTCGTGTGGCCAATTTTTTTCACCAACAATGTATACACATCCTCTTTAACCAACTCCAATAATTTTTCTTTTGGCATTTTTCTTTTTCTGGTTAAACAAATATTTAAAAAAATATGTTTCTTAATCGAAGAATAACTGTACTTACTTGGGTTTGTTGTAAAACTTTTTGTAAAAGATCACTGCTGCTATCGGGACTGTTAATACACATAACGAGGCAAGATAACGAACGTTTATAACTTTATAGAAATGAATAACAGACATTTATCGCTCTTTATTTCAGCCGTTAAATGAATTTTATTTTGGGATCTTAAAAAAAAGTTGTGAATCTATTCGTTTCTGATGCAAAACTAGGTTGAAATTAATCTTATCAGGTGTTTTGTTATCCTTTTTAAAACATTCTATGTATCTTTCTAATTATACTTTAAACGATGACGTAACAGAAATAAAATTTAAAAAAATAATGTTAAAAATCCTTGATATAATTCCATTTGATCTTTTAAGAACTAATTAGAATATAATGAAAATTGTAAATATTAAAATTATGATTTTTAAAAATACTAATCAATTCTATCTTGAATTAATATCAACAAAGTATTACTTTTGTCGTTGTCATGAAGTTTTAATACATTAAACGTTTCTCTACTTTATACAGTTTAGGCAATATCAAAGAACGGTTTAACAAATGGTTTGAAGGTATCTTTTTTCTTAACAAAAAAACTTTATTTACTGTATTTTACTTTATATCACACAAATTCTAATTAAAACAGAACCAACAACTTATAAATTAATTTTGTTCATTATGTTCATCTAATATGCATCGTTCACGTTGCACCGAAAGTATCGGCTCAAACTTCTCTGATTCTACCACTCCAGCCATATGTATAAAAATATATATTGTTAATTTATGAAGATCAATCTGAAGACAACCTACTAATCAGATGTTCGGAGGTCATACTCAAAATCCTTATCAACGCTTCAACTCGACGATTTGATGATTTTTAATTAAAAAGAAATTATTATTAAATTATAATTTTGAGGACAGTTTTGAATCATTCGGAGTATTTTAAATAAAAAAAGGTTGCATCATCAAAGGTTTGTGAGATAAAAAGATTTTGTGATAACAAACACTAAAAACCCTAAAAATTCAGTATATCTTTAATCTGAGCTCTGTGAACCTGCAACCCGAGTTTACGATATTTTAGGACTTAAAGTGAGAAAAAAAATTTGAAAAATTGCCGGAGCCCCACTTTTTGATTTTCTAATTTTATTAATACCTTTCAGTAGAGAATCGTTTGTACCTGTTTGTACCACTTTCGATTTCGTTTGTACCTCAACCGGTTCTAAAATACAGCGATTTTTTCATTTTTCAGAATACCGCTGAAATTGTGTATCTCCGTTATTAACACAGATATCGCAAAACGGTTGATGGAATTCGATAGAGAATCGTTTGTACCCGTTTGTACCACTTTTGTTTTCGTTTGTACCTCAACCGGTTCCAAAATACAGCGATTTTTTGGTTTTTAAGAATACCGCTGAAAGAGTGCATAAGACTAAATTGACGTTTGGGTCGTAACCGTTCTCAACTCTAGCCGGTGTGGCCAGGTATGCACCGTTTAATGTTTTGATGATTTATATCGACTGGACTTATCCATACAAACACGTGTGTTATATCATCTTCGTCGATAATCTTCACTGTGAAACGTTATTAAGGCTAATTCTTAGGTGTGCTATGATAGGTCGTATTTTTAATACTTCTTTGCAAACAAGTCTGTTTATCTGGATATTATTCTTTTTTATTCTACTCTCGTCTTTTTTATTGTACTGTTTGATTAAACGCTTTGTTGATTAATTTTGGGTTTCGGGTGTTGGAAGAAGATTAAAATTGCTGCGTGTAGCTAAATTTTCTGTTGAAATGATTTTTAATTGCCGGTGGAAACAACACCGTATCTCGTCCACGGTGTTGCATTAGAATTGATATTGCTCCCCTTATCAAGCGGTATTTAATAACGGAGATACACACTTTCAGCGGTATTCTCAAAAACTACAAAATCGTTGTATTTTGGAACCGGTTGAGGTACAAACGAAAACAAAAGAGGTACAAACGGGTACAAACAATTCTCTATCGAATTTCATAGACAGTTTTGCGATATCTGTATTAATAACGGAGATACACACTCTCAGCGATATTCTAAAGAATCAAAAAATCGTTGTATTTTGGAATTGGTTGAGGTACAAATGAAAACAAAAGTGGTACAAACGGGTACAAACGATTCTCTATCGCATTCCATCGACAATTTTGGGATATCTGTATTAATAACGGAGATACACACTTTCAGCGGTATTCTCAAAAACCAAAAAATCGCTGTATTTTGGAACCGGTTGAGGTACAAACGAAAACAAAAGTGGTACAAACGATTCTCTATCGCATTCCATCGACAATTTTGGGATATCTGTATTAATAACGGAGATACACACTTTCAGCGGTATTCTCAAAAACCAAAAAATCGCTGTGTTTTGGAACTGATTGAGGTACAAACGAAAACAAAAGTGGTACAAACGATTCTTTATCGAATTCCATCGACAGTTTTGCGATATCTGTATTAATAACCGAGATACACACTTTCAGCGGTATTCTCAAAAACCAAAAAGTCGCTGTACTTTGGAACTGGTTGAGGTACAAACGATAACAAAAGTGGTACAAACGGGTACAAACGATTCTCTATCGAATTCCATCGACCGTTTTGCAATATCTGTGTTAATAACGGAGATACACAATTTCAGCGGTATTTTGAAAAATCAAAAAATCGCTGTATTTTGGAACCGGTTGAGGTACAAACGAAATCGAAAGTGGTACAAACAGGTACAAACGATTCTCTATCGAATGCCATCGACAGTTTTGCGATATCTGTATTAATAACGGAGATACACACTTTCAGCGGTATTCTCAAAAACCAAAAAATCGCTGTATTTTGGAACCGGTTGAGGTACAAACGAAAACAAAAGTGGTACAAACGATTCTCTATCGCATTCCATCGACAATTTTGGGATATCTGTATTAATAACGGAGATACACACTTTCAGCGGTATTCTCAAAAACCAAAAAATCGCTGTGTTTTGGAACTGATTGAGGTACAAACGAAAACAAAAGTGGTACAAACGGGTACAAACGATTCTTTATCGAATTCCATCGACAGTTTTGCGATATCTGTATTAATAACCGAGATACACAATTTCAGCGGTATTCTGAAAAATCAAAAAGTCGGTGTATTTTGGAACTGGTTGAGGTACAAACGAAAACAAAAGTGGTACAAACGGGTACAAACGATTCTCTACCGAAAGGTATTAATAAAATTAGAAAATCAAAAAGTGGGGTTCCGGCAATTTTTCAAAATTTTTTTCTCACTTTAAGTCCTGAGGTACAAACGAAAGTAAAGGTGGTACAAACGAGTACAAACGATTCTCTATCGAAAGGTACTAATAACACCAAAATATCGTAAACTCGGGTTCCAGGTTCACAGAGCTTTTAATATACGCCTTCTAACATTTAAAATTCTTCTTTATCATTTCCCCTAGATGAAATCATAGCGTTGGGGTGTTGTTGGGATCCTCTATTCATCTTCTAAATCTACGTCTGTTCCTTGCCATATTCTTCAATACCTGCACACTTCTTCCTCTCATGCGCACTATCTCCTCCACTTCATCCTCCGTTTTTATCCTTGGCCTGCCTCTCGTTGGTTTTCCAACTATTCCCATTTCCATTGCTCTTCTGGGAATTCTCTCTTCTCACTAGGTGTCCATACCAGCTCGGCAGTTTGTTTTCTATTTCAGTTAATATTTGTTCAAAATCGTCTCTTACTGTTTTGTTTCTAATTCGATCCATTTTTGTTTTCCCCGCAATCTTCCTTAAAAATTTCATTCCGCTGTTCTTTTTTGTTTGTGTTTATCTCTCATCGGTCATGTTTCGGCTCCATATGTGAGGGTCGGTGTATACAGTATGTCCCCGGATCGAGTTACAAAGAGGAAAAAAATTTGTATTACTGATTTTTCAAACTTATCTCAGCATAAATAATGCGTCGGATATGTTCAAACTACTAAATCGCACGAATTTTATGCTCTAACTATAGAAGTTAACAAATTATTCTCATTTTTTATGTAAAAATTTGACTGTTTTCTAAATTGAAATTTTTTCAAGTTCAATTTATGATATGTAACCATAGAAACCATAAAAGTTACAACTTATGTTAGTGAGATTAAGTCTTTTCGTGCGATGTTAACCGTGAAAGAGAGAATTTATTTAGTACAGTGCTATAGTACTGGTGAATCATGTTTTCGTGTAGTTATACAAAAATTCCAGCAAAAATATCCGGACACAAGAATATCTCATGTGGGGCTCGCAAACTGATAAATTTGGAAACGGGTTCTGTATTATCCATAAAGAGGCAGACAAAAAGACTAAATGAGGAAAACGCTGCTTTTCAGATAACTTTTCAACAAATGACATTGTTTCTTCCCAGCATTGTCGTTATTGGAGTAATGTAAATCCAATTACCTTTACTAAATTTTATACGGTCAATGTACAGGGTCCGGCAGTGATAAGGAAAGATTTAAAGTAGGGTTTGCAGCGCGCCGCGAAGTAATGGGGAAGAAAGTAGCCAACTTGCCAAGACCTGCATAATTTGCCATTTAGTTTACAATGGAGCGTTGGGCGGGTGAGCAGCGCGGTTACGCAGTTAAAGCCTATTTTCAAAACGGTGAGATTTCGGCAAATGGGCAAATCATCGGTCCATATTTTTTTGAAAATGAGGCTGAAAATGCCGTTACCGTTAATTCTGTACGATACGTTGCAATGATTCAGAATTATCTCACACCACAACTTGAAGGCCTTCCAGGGAATGAAGACACACTTTTTTAGTATTCAAAAAATAATTTTTTTGACTTTGTAAACCAAATGGCAAATCATGCAGGTCTTGGCAAGTCGGCTACTTTCTTCCCCATCACTTCGCGGCGCTCTGCAAACCCTACCTTAAATCTTTCCTTTTCACTGTACTTGTCGGACCCTGTACTTTCAGCAAGACAGTTGCCCATCTTACCATTCACACATTGTGCGAAATGGTTCAATTTACAATTTCGTCAAAAATGGATTGGACGGAAGGGTCCTATTTGATGGCCAGCACGTAGTCCTGATCTTACAATTATGGATTTTTATTTTTGGAGACGATTAAAACAAACATGTTTACAGTGAAAATTCGTATAAAATCCAGTTCTTGGAATATGAGTATGAAAATTTCTCACAATGTTAATAAAAGTGTCTTATTTCCAATGAACCAACCAGT